TTTTTTATTTAAATTCAGTTAGCCAACATATAGAATATTATTAGTTTCAGATGTAGAGTTTAGTAATTCATCAGTTGCCAAAACACCCAGGGCTCATCACATCACATGCCCTCCGTAATGCCCATCACCCAGTTACCCCATCACCCCACCCACCTCCCCTCCAGCAAGCCTCAGTTTCTTTCCCATAGTTAAGAGTTTCCCATGGTTTGTCTCCCTCTCTGATTTCTTCCCATTCCATTTTTCCATCCCTTCCCCTATGATCCTCTGTATGGTTTCTTATATTCTTCATATGAGTGAAACCATATGATAATTGTCTTTCTCTAATTGACTATTTTGCTCAGCATAATACCCTCCAGTTCCATCCATGTCGATGTAAATGGTAAGATTTCATCCTTTCTGATGGCTAATATTCCATTGTGTGTGTGTGTGTGTGTGTGTGTGTGTATTTACATATATATACCACATCATCTTTATCCATTCATCTGTCGATGGACATCTGGACCCTTTCCGTAGTTTGGCTATTGTGGACAGTGCTGCTGTGAACATTGGGGTGCAGGTGCCCCTTCAGATCACTGCATTTGTATCTTTGGGGTAAATACCTATTAGTGCAATTGCTGGGTCATAGGGTAGCTCTATTTTTAACTTCTTGAGGAACCTCCATACTGTTTTCTAGAGTGACTGTACCAGCTTGCATTCCCAGTAGTTTAAAAGGGTTCCCCTTTCTCTGCATCCTTACCAACACTTGTTGTTTCCTGTCTTGTTCATTTTTGCCATTCTAACTGGTATAAGGTGGTATCTCATTGTGGTTTTGATTTGTATTTCCCTGATGGCTAGTGATGTCAAACGTTTTTTCATGTGTCTGTTGGCCATTTGTGTGTCATCTTTGGTGAAATGTCTGCTCATGTCTTCTGCCCATTTCTTGACTGGATTATTTGTTTTTTGGGTGTTGAGTTTGAGAAGTTCTTTATAGATCTTGGATACTAGCCCTTTATCTCATATGTCATTTGCAAATATCTTCTCCCATTCCATAGGTTGCCTTTTAGTTTTATTGACTGTTTCCTTGACTGTGCAGAAGCTTTTTATCTTGATGAAGTCCCAATAGTTCATTTTTGCTTTTGTTTTCCTTGCCTTTGGAGACATGTCTAGCAAGAAGTTGCTGCCCCCGAGGTCAGAGAGGTTGTTGCCTGTTTCTCCTCTAGGATTTTGATGGACTCCTGTCTCACATTTAGGTCTTTCATCCATTTTGAGTCTACTTTTGTGTATGGTATAAGGAAATGGTCCAATTTCATTCTTCCACATGTGGCTGTCCAATTTTCCCAACACCATTTGTTGAAGAGACTGTCCTTTTTCCGTTGGATATTCTTTCCTACTTTGTCGAAGATTAGTTGACCATAGAGTTGAGGGTCCATTTCTGGGTTCTCTATTCTGTTCCATTGATCTGTGTGTCTGTTTTTGTGCCAGTACCATTCTGTCTTGATGATTACAGCTTTGTAACAGAGCTTAAAGTCCGGAATTGTGATGCCACCAGCTTTGGTTTCCTTTTTCAACATTCCTCCAGCTATTCGGGGTCTTTACTGGTTCCATACAAATTTTAGGATTGTTTGTTCCAGCTCTGTGAAAAATGTCGATGGTATTTTGATAGGGATTGCATTGAATGTGCAGACTGCTCTGGGTAGCATAGACATTTTAACAATATTTATTCTTCCAACCCATGAGCATGGAATAAGTTTTTCCCTTTATGTCTTTCTCAATCTCTATTAAGGTTGAAAAATAATTGGTTTGAGATCTTTTTAATATAGATGTTTATAGTTAAAAATTTCCCTCTAAGTACTACTGTAACTGCATCCCCTAAGTTTTGGTATTTTGTGTCTTCATCCATCTCAAAGTATTTTTTTAATTTCCCTTGTGATGTCTTCTTTGACCCTTTGATTAGAAGTATGTTGATTTCGGGTGCCTGGGTGGCTCAGTTGGTTAAGCGATTGCCTTAGGCTCAGGTCATGATCCTGGAGTCCCGGGATTGAGTCCCGCATCGGGCTCCCTGCTCAGTGAGGAGCCTGCTTCTCCCTCTAACCCTCCCCCCTCTCATGTACTCTCTCTCTCTCATTCTCACTCTCTCAAAATAAATAAATAAATCTTTAAAAAAAAAAAAGAAGCATGTTGATTTCCATATATTTATGAATTTCCCAGATTTATTACTGATTTTTAATGTCATTGCCTTGGGTTCAGAGAACATACTTTATTTCATTTAAATCCAGCTTAGTTTATTGAGGGTTGTTCTAGGATCTAATATATGTTCTATCCTGGACAATGTTTTATGTGTACTTAAGAATGTATATTCTGTAGTTCTATAAATATATTAGATCTAGTTAGTTTATAATATTGTCCTAGTCTTCTACTTTTTAACTGATCTTCTTCCTAGTCATTCTTTCCTTTATTGTATGTGGGATATTTAAGTCTCCACCTATTACAGTTGAATTGTCAGTTTTTACCTTCATTTCTGTCAGTTGAATTTAATGTATTTTAAGATGGTTATTAGTTGTATATACATTTATAATTGTTACATCTTCCTGATGGATTGACCCCTTTATCATTATAAAATGTCCCTCTTTATTTCTGGTTACATTTTGTTTTAAACTCTCTTGCCTGATATCAGTAGTCATGCGAGCTTTCTTATGGTTACTGCTTGCATGATACATCTTTTTCCATCCTTTCACTTTCATCCTGTTTGAATCTAAAGTGTCTTGCCTATGGACTGCACATAGTTGGATCTTGTTTTTAATCCAGTCTGTCAGTCTCTGCTCTGATTGGATTAATTCATTCACACTTAATGGTGTTAATATAGTTGGATTTACATCTGCCATTTTACTTCTTTTTTCTTATATCTTTGTGTTCCTCTGTTTCTTTTACTTTTTTGTTTTGTGTTAAGTGAACATATTCTAGTGTGACATTTTAATTCTTTTAATAATTTTTTCACTAGTTTGAGTTATTTTCATATAGTTATTCTTAGTTATTCTAAGTTATTAGTTATTATAAGTTCATAGTTATTCTAAGACACATCATATCAGAATCTACTTATAATTTATACCAACTAAATCCAGTGAGCTATAGAAAGATTACTCCTTTATATCTCTATTCCCTTTTTGTGTATGTGACATTTGTATGTGTTACAAATCCAGTTATATTGTTATAATCATATAATTTTAGGTGAGAGACAAGCAGGTATATATTTATAGCTTTTGTGATATTATCCTTTATATCATTTATATTTACCATTTGTTTCTCTTCATTTGTTTTAAATCAGACCTTTCTTCAGGTATGTCCAAACGGTGTCAGCCACAAGGATGGAGAGCAGGCTCTGTGAAGGATTATCAGTTTGTGCACAGCACAACTAAGAGTTAGCATTCACATTGCAGATTTGTGTGTTTGACAGTTTATTGGTAGATGGCCAAAATGGCTTGTCCTAACGACCTCCGTGATTTATGGTTCTCCCAAATGAAGGTTTCTGTGATGGTGAAGTGCTCTGTATCTGTGCTTTCCACCGTGAGAGTCTTGAATTAATTTTAATTTCTATTTAATTTTAAATAGCCGTAGCTACAGGCACTCATATGGGACACTGAAGTTAGCGTTTCAGATGGCCCCTTCCTTGATACTGTGGTTAAACCTTCTAAGGTAGATTAAAGGGAAGAGCCCCCCCCAAATATATGATAGTTTCATTTATTATAAAACTTACAGACTGGACCATGGGAATATTATTTTAAAAAGTTGTTATATCTTTATCAGCCATCTAAAAACTCAGATGCAGATAGACAAAATCTGATGCAAACACAGCCATGCAGGGCCATGGCCAAGAGATGGAAAGAGCACAGAGTCCCTGAGGTCTGCTTAGGGCACAAGGGAGGACCCATGCTCCGTCCTTCCATCACACTAAATGCCATACAGCCAGTAAGGAGGGGAGGGTCTTTTTCAGCTTGTGGGAAACAAAGGAAGGAAATCTTCAAAGCTACAATTGGAAACTTTTACTTTATGCAGAACAGCGGTTGAGTAAAGGGAATGAAACCCATATTGCTCTTCGTAGCTGATTTTTCAAAGAGTGTGCTTGTAAATGTCTTTACAGACTCTCAGAATCTTCCCTCATAGTCTTTGAAGTAAGGAGATTGAAGACCCTCTTATCCTCACTTCTCATTAAGGCATACCACCTTTCATTGTTTCCAATACATGGTTTTCAGACATGTCTTGATGAAAGCCAAACTGCTTTCAGATGAAACAAACATAAACAAAATGTCTATCCCCATGGGATAAAGCATCATAACAGGTTTTTTTTTTAGGTTTTTTTATTTTTTTAAGAAAGTTCAATGTTTGCCTTTAGGTCAGTATATTAATTACCATTGTGCTTTTCCCTTCTCATTTTTTTTTTTTTAGATTTTATTTATTTGCGAGGGAATGTGCACAAGAGGGGGGGTCAGAGGGAGAAGCAGACTCCCTGCTGAGCAGGGAGCCGGATGCGCAGGGTTTGATCCCGGAACTCCAGCATCATGACTTGAGCAGAAGGCAGATACTTAACTGACTGAGCCACCCAGGCCATGCCTCCCATGTTAAGATACACAGTAACAGTATACACTGTTTTTTGTCTCAGATAATGTGGTAACCATATCCCAGGTGCTTCCAAACACTTTTTTTGAAATCCTGTTACCATTTCAATATGATGAAAGCCTGCCCTGCAAAGTCTCTGACATTTAACATTGCAGTTTTCTCTGGGGCCATGTCAACAGTATAATAAGGAAAAAAAGAAATTATGATGTTCATCCCTAGCCCATCGTGGAATAAAAAATATACCTATTTGAATAGATCTTAAACATAATTTTCCCTCGTAAGGGAAAACATGCTGCAAAGAGAAAAGTTAAATGTCACATTAGCTTAACATTGTAAAAGAGAATAAAGCCCACAGGTAAATGAAGTTTTCCTGCGGGTAAATTAATGCTGCCTCATCCATTGATTCCCAGGTCATAGATCTCTACTGGGGCATCGATGAAGACGAATGGGACAGCCCGGAGCTCCAGAAGACCCGCATGAAGCTGCTGGAGGACTGTTTGAAAACTTCTGCAGGTCCATGTTTTGTTGTGGGTATAAAAAAACTAATGCTTTATACAAAATTGTAGATGACTGTGAGAATTGTTGTGGATGTGTGACTCTTAAGGACTTTTTTACTTATTTTGAATGAGGAAAAAATACTGCCTTTTCTGTGTCTATTTAAAACCTTTAAACTGTCTCCTTGCCCTCAACATGTGAGAACAAAACCTTCAGCCTTCCATAAGCAGCACTGCAAATTAATGGTGAATAATTTGAAATGGTAATCTAAGGGGTGACTGGGGGTTGATGACAACTTCTACAACACCTACAGCCTGATTTTCCTCACGCTGTGTAATGTGTTCGATCACAGTGTCGCCATGTCTGGCCACTAGAATTTTTGGCAGTTTTTTAACACAGTGACTGAAACATTGTTAAAGTCAACCAATATACGATGTCAGATCCACCAGCAGAAAGTGATGCCCTGTGGGGTGAAAAAATTTGTCTTTAGAGTGATCTTCAGCTAAATGTTCATTAAAAGCTACAAATTAACAAGATTTTTCAAGTGGAACCTTATTTACCAAAGAATACCCACTCTTCTATCTAAACACAGTGGTAGTAAGATAAGTAGGTCGTTCTATAGCAGGTGATGGTGTAAAATCACTGTCTGCATTTAGCTTAAAAAAGAACCTTATCCTGAATCCAGACAGATTCTAGTAATTGATACAGAAGTTGCCCCTCTTAACACAGGATGTTGGGAGGCTGATGGAGGAGCGTTGAAATTACTAGTGAATGCTTCAAGGAAACTCTCATACAATTAAAAGCTAGGTTTGGTGTATCAAGAAGAGTTTTCAGTGTTTATTTGTGTATCTGTTAAGCTCCACATAGGATTAAGAAGACAGAGATGCTATCAGAAATCTGACCAGTTGGTGGTGAAGTTCTTAGGATAATAAAGTACATAAAAGCTCTATAACATTTTTAGTATCAGTATGTAAATTATTCACCCACTACTTATTGAATGCTGCTGGGCCAGGAATGGCTCTTAGTGCTGGGGGTATGGTAGGCTGACCCACATGATTTGGTTATTTTGTGTGCCACTTAGAATTTAACCTTAGATTTGAACTAAGAAGATAAAACTTTTAGAGCTTGCTTGCATGCTTAGTTGGGGTCAAAGGGAGAGGGCAGGCAAAGATGAAGGAAATAAGGAAAATCATAAGTGCTATGGAGAAAAATACAAAAAGAAAGGAGAAGGCCTCACTGATAGAGTGAGGGAAGACCCATGAGGGGAGATAAGAAAGGGGAAAAGAAAGAACCAGGTAGATTTCCAGACCAGAATGCCCCAGGGAAAGAAGATGGGACCATGCCTGGCATGTCAACGGAATAGTATGAGCATGAGGGGAGAGGACTGCAGAGGAGGCCCTGTCTTGGGCTTTAGCATCTTGAAGTTGGTTACAGAGATTTTGCCTTCAGTGACCTGAGAAGCCACAGAGTATTTTGAGCAGAGGACTGAAGTGATCTGACGTATTTGAAGGCCCCCCCATGGCTTCCAGGTGTAGGATAGAGGGCAGAGCATGGAGCCCCCCTAAATGTTAATGCAGGAAGCCCAACAAAAACACATGGCTTAGGGGGTTGAAGAATGGACATCTAAAAACAGTGACAACACAGAAAGTCCTGAAAGCCGTATTAGATATCGGAAGATCTAGTAGTGGTAGGGGTTTAAGACTTTTTCCATGGGTCTTCAGAGGATAGACTAGGACCAGCAGATGGAAAGTACATGGACACAAGTTTCAGTGCCGGGTGAAGAAGTTGGAGGATTCAGCATTCACTGGTTTTGGGGTCTCACAGATCCCTGGGGTCTGACGTTTCATAGCTGCGTGATAGTGGAGGAGTTTCCTTACTACCCTGAGCCTCGGTATCTTGATCGGTGAACTGGAGATGATGATGATCATTGTCTAGCTCCTGGGGTCATTCTGAAGATGAAATGAAACTCCAGTTTGTAATGTCTCACCTACAGCAATCCACAGCAAGTGTTCGTTGTTACTTGTGGTAATCACTGTTACCTCTCAAAACCATTTAAAGATGAAATCACCTGGCCCAAATTGTAATGAGTGCATCACCAAGAAAGTTGTCCTCAAAGGAGAGAATACAATGCAGTCCAGCAGGGGACTGCCAGAGAAGAGATTCAAACAGTGGAAGACAAGTCAGACCGGGTTCCATGATGCTTGGAAGCTAGATTTGGGAGGTATGCCCTGGGAAGTCACCCTTGTGATGCTCTACACAGCTCTGTCCTGATCCAGCCTCAGAAATTCAGGAATGAGAGAGACATTCTCCCCTCTTTTATCTCCCTGTGGCGTGTCCTACCCAAACTAACTAAAATTAGTCATGGCCATTAATTCTAACAATTTGCCGGTAGGGGAGTGAATAAAGCCTGCAAGTTCCAGCAGGTTCTGAGAGTAGAGGTTAAGTGATGGCACATCAGAAACAGCTTCATTGAGTGTAAACAAACGATTTATCCCTCCTCCTGCTCACTGCTACATGTTGAAACTCACGGCAACCACGATGAAACCCTGTGGATACAGCTCGGATTATTCACCCTAGTGATCCTAAATCAGGCAAGAGTTAACCTCACTTCTTATGGGAAATAGTACATCTCTTCCTTCCTTTCCTGTTGTAACTATGGTAACAGCAGGCGTCTCGGTATCGCTTTTGAGCTTCAGTTTCCTTGCCCCGTGCTCCCTTATGGTACTTCTAGAAATCATGATGACCCCTGTGGGTTGCAAAGCACGGCATATTATTTTCCCTAATGCTAAAGTTTTTGGCAAGAAAATTCACTGTTGCTGAATGGCAAGGTTTTTATATTTTCAGAGGCTTTACAGATATGTTACAGATAAATTCAGGAACCAAACAACGCTTTCCTTTTAAGTACCCAGGGAGCTAAGGCCCAAAAGGAACCTGGACTTAAAGGTTACATGTGCTTGGCTCTTTCCAGCTTCCTTTCCTACGAGTCGTCCTTTGGGATGTGGCCTGAGGTCGTAGAGGCAGGCAGACTGTGCCTGTTCATCCTACACAGCTGTCTGTACACTGGTTTTTGATCACAAGGATGAGATGGACTACGGGGCCTGTCCCTGTGCCCAGTTCCACCCTCAGAGGATTGGCTCAGGAGACATGTCATACTGAGAATACATCACTTTCTTGTAGGAAAGCACCCACAGTGGGGACAAACCCAGAAGTTTTATTTCACACCCCGAGTTAGAGCTCTGGACAGGGCAGTTAACTAACCTCACCATGCTTTAAAATGGGGAAATAATAACTGTAAATGACAAGTAAATGTTGAATAAATACCAAAGGTTTGTTGTAGGAACCAAATGTGATAGGAGTCCTTTATAAAGGGCTACACAGCCATTAGTTATTATTAAGTTGTGATTTAAGTTATTTTCAAATGAGAATAAAAATGTTTTTACTCATAATGGACATTTCTGTGACGCTGGAAAATTTTCCCTTTGAAAATGATGATAGTCTAAATGTAGAAGAGCACTAGGACTTGATTCACACCATCAGATATTAAAGTCATATATTAAAGGGTTTTTGAGTTCATTCTTAACAAATGTTGTAAAATGTAGAGAGTGTGTATTCATTTGCTAGATAGGAATTTGCTGGAATGTACTTAAACCATTGTCTGCCCCGGAGGAGGGATTTTGACCAGGACTGCTCCTAACAGGAAGACAGCCTACAGTTGAGGTCAGAGTCCTTATCTACAGAGAATGGCCTCAGCCCCTCCCCCGCGAAGTATGGAAAGGTCGGCAGAATGTTCCCCACCAACCTGCCCCAGCCACCTAGTCCCTAAAAACTCCTTGTGAAGGGGGAGAGGAGTATTGTCTTTTGCAGAGAGCAGAGTTCTCTCATCCCTGCCCCTTCTTCATGATGTGTGTTGATGGAGAGGATGGGTTTTCGTCTTGTCATCCCTTCCAGATTTGAAGTACCTCAAAAGAATTTCTTGTGACATTCGACCCCTGACCCTGGACCTTAGGTGAAGTCCTGTCTCTTGGCCAAAGTTGATAAAAACAACTACTCTGCTGGCTTGAAGAACTGGGGGTTTGAAAGCTTCCTCAGAGAATTAAGGGAGCTGCCCCCAAGTGTGTAGGAGCTGTGGGGGATGCAGACAGCGCCTCACTCCATCCCTCAGTCCAGAGTGGATGATGGAGAGATTTCCCGACGGAAAGCTGTTGGTAGGCGGCCCCAGGGAGGGAGTCAAGCCAGGCCGTGCAGGGAACCAACACAGGGAGTTCCGGTTACTACTGACTGAGACAGGTAAGAGAAGATTCCAGGACCTCACACTCAAAGGGGCATTCCCTGTATCTTAGAGTCAGGCCAAAGAGAATGCCGCCTGTGGTAGGCTTTGTCAATTCCCAGAAGTCTCAGGGAGCCAAAGCCCATATAGCATCCTCACCGAGGGGACCGAATACAAACAGACATAATTTGTCGGCATTGGATAGAGAAGCAGCTGAGACCAAAAGAATGGGACTACTGCCATCATTCTTACCTGAGTGTAAGTGGATGCCCGGACTTCCACACCCCACCCCTACGCGCCCCCTGCCGTCGGCGGCATAGATGCTACAAGCAGAGGGCAGGCCCCACTCTTGCCCGCCACAGGCAGCTCCTGGCAGCCACACCGGACCATGCACAAAGTGGGAAGAAGGAAACTCGGAAACAGACATTTTCAGCTGGGCTAAATTTCAAACCAGAAGGACGAAAACAGAAAGGGTTGGACTGAGAAATCTATCATTACTGAGCAATTTTAAGTTTTTCCACTAAGCAGGGGAGTAAAGATGAGACAAAGCAAGGTCCATAGTTGTTACTGGTAAAAATTAAACCTTCCCATATTTGTACATCCCTGAGGGACACTATTGAATGAAACCTACAGCATAGAGATCAGTTCTTTATCACCTGTGTCCCCACTTCCCTTCAAAATTACATTATGCTGCCTTAATGGTTCAGATTCAGTGTAGTTTTTTAAAGTAAATTTCAATTAGGGAAAACTATACAGTGAGAGTTC